AGGGGGGGAAACCAACCCCAAACCCTTGATTCTCTTCTTATATCTTTGATTTATTATTCTTTGGAAAATTTTTAAATTAACCACAAAATTTAATCAAAATTTTTGATTAATAAATCAAATTAGTAAACACATAGAAGCGAATAATAATATTTAAATTTTATTTTACTTAGTAGTTGTTACTTTAGTTTCTATTAATAAATTTTACAGGACTTACTGTTTCTCAATAAAATTGCTTAATTTACCATATGAAAGTACTATTTAAATAATAATTTAAATTCAATCAATTTTAAAAGGTTTGATAAATGAATCAATAATAATAATCTCATTCATAATACAATTTATCTAATTGTCATGAGGCCTTAAAAGCATCTAGAGATCAATCAATAACCAATTTCCCATTTTTAATTGTTCAAATTCTATTTTAATTTTGAAAAGAACTTATCATTCTTAGAACAGATGTATGTTTTACTTGAATATTTTTGCAAAAGACATTTATTTTGATCTAATTCCATTCTATAGTAATAGGAAAATATCTTGCCTTGAATTTTCACTAATTCTGTTCAGAAGATTAGTTTTCCTATTGAATCCAATTTCTAATAAAAAAGTTAGCCATACTTTTCACTTATACTTCTTAATTATCATATTAATTATTAATTTTGTTTCTTATATTAATAGACTCTTTAATGATGATTATTTATCACTTTAACTCCAAAAATCCTATCTGTCCATTAGTTATTAATTATTGTTAATTGTTAACGAATCAAAAACAATTTTTGTATAATCTCATTGTAAGGACTATAATCCTTATCATAATTATGTTCATTTTCCTTTTTAACGATACACTAGTTTATGGATTCAAATAGTCATTAATTTTTATGACTTTGAGAATGATGAAGCATATATTAGTTGAAAAGAACTATAATTTTCAGAGAATTGCATTAATTATATGAAATCATAAAGATTATTCATATAACAAAAAAGTAAAATTATCTATGTAGATTATCTAATGATGATTATTTAATTTAATGTAAATAATGGTGTAGGTTTGAATTAACAGATATTTTGAAAATCAATTTAAAATTATTTAAATTTGAGATACAATTTAAAAGACTATTCTTCAAAAGATTTCGAAATCAAAATATAATTTCATCTTTTTAGACTAACAGTTTTGTTTTCTAACTATCATAGTTAGAAGTGATTATTAAATTTTTACTCTTTGTATCTCGAATTCTTATTTATATTAGTAAAATAATGATATATAATAGGCATGAGATTACCTTTTAAGCGTACATACATGATGATAGCGATTGAAAATTGTAATTATCCGTTATCTTTCGTTTGTTTTAACTATTTTCATCAAATTTGTTAATAATTTAGATAGATAAGATTCTAATTAGATTTTAAGCATTTTTTTATATTTATGGTAGTGATTTAGTTTGTATTTTGATCTTGGAATATTCAATTTTATTGAAATAATGTCAAGCTTACACTAATTTATAAATTACACTGAATTCTACAACAGAATCATTTTTTCTAAAATCTCAAAAAATTATCAATAAGAGTTCACCAATGAATTCCTCTATTTATTCACTATGATAAATCGCAAGATATCCCTAAAAAAAATTATTGATAAACAAATTTTTCTCCTAAAAGAATTATAAAACAACTCTTTCATGAATAGCCATATTGAATCAGAAATATGGATTTCAAAATAACTGATAAACCTCAAATTAAATCTTATAATTTACTTTTTATACTCTAAATTCTTTCAATTAGTTAAGATTATCCTTAGTTTAGTGATAATTATATTAAAAATTAAATATTCTTATATATTATTAGTTATAAATTATAATACTCATAATTCTCTATACTTTCTTATTTATATTTCTTTTGACCCATCATCCCAAGTGATTAAATACTATCCGTCATCACTTAATTATCCAAAAATAATACAATTATCAAACTCAATAGATTATTAGACTATAAAATCACCATTTTATAACTTCTTCATTAAATTAACATGTTTACCATTCTTATTCACTAGAAGACATTTTTACTTTTAGTATTATTATGGAAATAAACAATTATCATAAATTGAGCCAAACTTTACAGCAATTTCCTTAGTTTTCCTATACTAATTAGTATTACTATCCAACACATATACATACATCTATTCTTTACAATAGAGTTAAAATGTAAATTAATTATCATTAATTAAACATAATCTAAATCCCCTTTAATCTACGTATATCTTTTATGTAACACTCCATTTTTTATCCAACTTTTACAATTCTATTACTAATATTAATAAATCAAACGAACAAGATATCAGTTTATTTTATTCTTCATTTAAGCTTAATGAATATACAACATCAGTATGATCAATTATGGTTTATTAAAACAACCATTAATCCTATTTCCTCCAAAATTTTATTGTATCACTACCCGAAATAATTAAATCATCAGTATTACTTAATAATAAACTAAATATCTTATTTGAATGTCCAAATAATTTTTATTAACATTTCCATTAATCATTTCCAGTCACCTTCCATATTATAATTGAACAATCTTCACTTCCAGATACAAAATCATTTGTATTTTTCATGAAATTTAAAGTATATACATCTTTTGTATGCTCACTAAAAATTTAAATTAAATTCAGATTCCCTTGTATATGTTGAAATACTTTAATTTCATTATTACATCCAGCTATAACGATTGATTAATCTTTGTTAAAAGCAATAGCAATACACCATTAAACTTACTTAATTGATTATTATTTCGTGAGGTCAAAGGTGAATGGGTTCGAATTTGGTTCCAATATACTTAGATGCTTTGGTTATTCTTAAATTCATTTATCTACATAAGATTGAGGAATTTATATATTATCATTTTACTTGATATTTGGTTGATTCTTTATTTTTTTAATTATTTCATTTACAAAAGATTTGGTTTATTCAATTGATTGCTTCAGTTGCTTAAATAATTTTTCTTCACAATCTCCTATTTAACTAAAACCTTTGATTAATTAATCAATCTTTGATAATCCTAATTCTGTTAATTATTAAATATTGAAGTTATTATAAAGAAACAAAAAATTTATAAGACGATCAAGGGCAATTTTACATTCTTAAACATTCTTTTAAATATCTTGAGCCGCAAGAATTCTTTCCTAAATCCATCCAGATAACAATTCTTCAGATGTCAACTTATTATTATGTTGAATATGGCTCGGCAAGCAAAGATGACAATAAGGTTTTTAATTTGTACATGCACTATCTATGCAAAAGCCTATTATTTATTGATTTTAATGATCAGCTTGGGTACATCTAATATACATTTTCTATTTCTATTAAAATTAATATTTAAATATTTAATAATTATTTTTGTTTATATATATTAAATTTCAAAATAAACATACTTTATATATATATTTAATATATCTAAAATAAAATTTATTTGTAAAGAAAGAATTTATTTATTGAATATAATGATTGGCTGAATTAATATCTTCGAAAGGTTTCTATCAGATTCACATTACATCTACTCAGTTATATCCTATGAAATATATGTTTTTTAGTATAATATTATTTCCCGAAATCAATGAAGCAATTCCCTTTAGATAACTATTCTCATACAAAGAGAATGAATTTATCTAATTTCAGCCATTAATATCTTCCCTAAAATTTATCTATATCTATTATAAAAGTTGTCTTAATGATTTATATATTTGATTGCAATAATTAATAAGTATTGAGACTCAGGCCAATAAAATATGCTTATAAAATAAAAGTCAATTAGATCTCTACCCTTAGTATTAGATTATTCTATTTAGGATGTTATTTGATACCCTTATCGAAAATTAAAAAATCTATAATAATTAATAGATTGGTCTTTTTCTTTTAATGGTCCTTTTATATTATGACTTTTTGATTTTCATTTCCTCCCGAAAGTCGGAAGGCTATTTTATACATCTACTCACCTCTATTTTTAGAACATTATAAATCACATAATTTGAGACAATACACCTAAGTTTATTTAGGAATATATATGACTTTTTCAATAAAATAAAAATAATTGTCAAAACAAATTAACCTAAATTCTTACAAAATTCTAATGACAGTTGTTATTTTATCATTTATTATTTGCAATAATTGATTTTAGTAAGAAAATTATTTTAACGATTGTTTTAAATTTTTTATTTATCTAATTAGATTTTTGATTTCTAAATCAATAAAATATATTAGATTATTTAATATTTTTAATATTGATCAAATATTTTAATTTGTATATTTTTATATTTTAATGATTTTAATAAAAAAATACAT